TTAAATGAAAACCAATGAAAGACTATTGATTTTTGGAATTTTTTTTTTCACGTAGATGATGAATTTTCGTTTTCTTGACATGTTAACAATAAAGCATAGAAGATCATGTGATGTCAGCTCCAGTTTAGGCAATGTTATCTCTATACTTGCACGCCATGAACAATACATAGGATATGGATTCCCTTCACACACATATATCTCCATACATCTTACTGGACTTAAACATACATATATTATACTCCAATCAGTGGCCCCTAACTGATAGCTGTTCCTTCTGGCATTTTTACACAAACATGAAATCTCAAATGTATGTTTCAACAGTTTTTATTATACTGAAACCTACACTTTAAAAAAAAAAAAAATCTGCATCATGTATCATCACAAGTTCCTGAATCACCAATTTGTAAACAGCTGACACAATTTGTCTGTAAACTTGAAGTCTTGTGTTCATTTGAGGGAAAACACATGCAAACTGCAGGCCTGGCAAAGAAAACCAATGTGAATAATTCCTTTTGGAGATTCCCCAATGGAATTTATTTGCATTTATATGTATAATTAAAATCTCACAAACACCACTACAAAACTGCTGCAAACACAAGCAGATATTGGAAGGTTCCACAAAGCCGACATTTACAAACAATATTATATATGTATATATATATATATATATATATATGAATATTCTAGAAGTTATGTAATAAGCCCACCCATATCTATTGTTGTTCAGTAGAACTACAAATCAATTTCATTTCATCTACAAATCAATCATACTTCAAACGTGGTGTTTTATATAAGCCCATCCCGTATTAGGAGATGATGGGCGTGTGGCCCCCACGCCCCCTACCTCCACAAGCATATTGTTGGCTCCCTGGGCTTCTTGCAAGATAAATACGGTAAGGAATTTCTATACTATAAAAGTCATAACAACGAATATATTAGCTTTTTGTTGTAATTTGTCATTGTCACACTTTGTATAGACACAACCCTGTCTACTTCTCTAACAAATACCTGGTCATGAGGGTCTATATCTCAGTTCACTGGAATAGTGGATGTTCACTATGTATAAAGGTTTAATTAAAACCTTCATCGTTTACTGTTACACCAATTACAAGTCACAAACACCCTCTTAAATTTCTTTGATGTGAACGGTTATAACTGAAACAGTTGTATGGTACTAAAGGTGTGTGTGGGGAGATCCTGTTATTATCTTCAATGGTACAACAGATAACCTCGGCTTATCTCCTACACCACTACCAAGATCTATCTAATCACTGAGTGTGACCCAAGGTCACAGGTGGATGTGCCTCGTTGAGCACTAGGTCACACCAGAGTAATTTCATAGACTTGCTAGACCAGAATTCCACATTCAACATATGGCCACCTATAACTCACAGACACAAAAAGTCACCAACACAAGCATATTCAACATTTCAATCCTGAGAAAATGTTTAAGAGTCTAGCTTTATAGCACTTGCATGTGGCAGTCTGTCATAATGTACAGGCTGAAGAATATACTTAAAAGGCTGAAAATATTTTTACTTTAGATCAAAACACTGACTATTCATACATGTATTTTCTGTTAAAAGGTATTACTTCACACACAAATGATGAATATGTAAATGTTTCCATATAAATGGTGAATGGACATGTTGATTGCACTGTTTCCTTATGTCATTACAACATGCAATTTACTTTGTATGAAAGAAAGATAATTATTTATCAAATTCTCATACATGAAAGCATAATGACACATAATTACACTGGGTCTAATTTGCATTTTTTCCAATAATTATACAAAACCTTGGGTTGACAGCTGAAAACCAAGAGAACAGGCTGCCCCAAAAGTACAAAAAATAATTTCTTCTGAATGCTTGCTTTCCTTTTCTTTCACAAGAAACATGATAGCATTGACACATTGTTAGGTCTAACCATGATCACTGTCATGTAGGGTTTAGATGTATAACATGTAGGACTGAAAAGGGTGTAAGGTCTACAGATCTGTAAATGATCTGTGTAAGCCTGGCAAGGACGTAAGGTCTACAGATCTGTCCATGATCTGTGTAAGCCTGACATGGATGTAAGGTCTACAGATCTGTCCATGATCTGTGTAAGCCTGACAAGGATGTAAGGTCTACAGATCTTGTCCATGATCTGTGTAAGCCTGGCAGGGATGTAAGGTCTACAGATCTGTCCATGATCTGTGTAAGCTTGACAAGGATGTAAGGTCTACAGATCTTGTCCATGATCTGTGTAAGCCTGACAAGGATGTAAGGTCTACAGATCTTGTCCATGATCTGTGTAAGCCTGACAAGGATGTAAGGTCTAAAGATCTATTCATGATCTGTGTAAGCCTCACAAGGATGTAAGATCTATAGATCTTGTCCATGATCTGTGTAAGTCTGACAGAGCTTTATTAAGGTCTATAGATCAACTCATGTGTAAGCCTGGCAGGAATTTAAGGTCTATAGATCTGTCTGTAATCTGTATTGGGCTGGGAGCTCAAAGGCGCTTAAGATTATAACTTAAAACAACAGACATTGTTAAGAGTCTTTTGTTAAAATGCAACATACATGTGAGTTTATATATATCCTTTCCTAGATCTGAAATTTACCTATGAAATTTTATAACCTGACCTTTGGAGAAGTTGTATCTCACAAGAGTAAACATCCATATGTATATAAGTAGATTGGTATCAAAGGCTGCCAAGAAACAACATCAGCATTCATTTATAGAGAACAGAGAAAATCAATTGTCCTTTATACACTAAATAGTGTGCCTTCCTGGAGGGGTGCCGTCAATAATTGATACACACAGCTAAGTACCAGGTTGTCCTACAAAGTGGTACAGTACTGTTATTACTGTCTATAGTATACCACAATCTTCATACCAAGCCTTTAATAATAGTCCTCCCTCTTAATTCTTATGTACATCAGACACACCCAGAGATCTATGAAGATGTAACCCTCAATATATTTCATAGAGAAGCACTAAAGAAAAAACTCCTCATAAAGAATTCACATATTGATCTATCTGTCAGGGTATTTAATTTTCCCCATCATTAAACTTGATGAATCGATAGATTTAAGTTACGAGAGTCTGGCACGAGGAGGGACCAATGGCCATTGCAATGCAGTACAGCTGTGTCCCTTTTTATCTGCATGCCTTGGGCTCTAACTTGGTCAAGTCATGCCAATACATACAATGAAAAAGAATTTCCGATAATCTTTTTTCTTCCTAGAACAAATAGGGCAATAGAAATAGGAGTTGGGGACTAAATCAATGGACTATTGGATGACGTTGCTATCTGGTAGTGCCTGCATGACAGAATCCCGTTTTATTTAGCCCCTACTAGCTGATGGGGTCACTGTGACACATGGTCAATTAGGGATAAACCCAGACAAACTGCAGTGTAGGATTTCATTTGCAAATCAATACGTTACTGCAGTACAAGTGTCTCCAACTCCATCAATTCCTATGGTGGTCAATTCAAACTTTAGTCATGACTGAAAACCTATGAAGGAAGACTAAGGTCTGACATAGCTATATAGTCCACCAGTCAGAGCAGCAGAACATGCCATATCCTTGCTATAAAGGGCTGTACATGTATTTTAGACATTTTTTGGGTTTAGACTGTGTTAATTCTTATAAGGAATGAGGTGAACTACAGTTATCTTGTTTATTCTCATTAGGAATGAGGTGTACTGCAGTCACCTTGTTTATTCTTATTAGGAATAAGGTGTACTGCAGTCGAAAAGTAAATTGCCTAAATGACTATGAAACTACAGCACTAGCTACCAACATCATTAGATACAACATAGATAATCAAAGGAAAGGAGCTTGTTAGCCTAATCTCCAAACATGTACAAAGGCATTGATAGTCTCCTCATCATCTCTAGTTGCAATAATAACAAGAAACAACACCCATCTTTAAATGTAAAAAATTTCAAAAGATACAGTACATTTAAACTCATTTTTATATAAATGTGTGCATATGTTTTCCCTGTAACCTTGAATCAGTTTGTATTGTTTCCTAAAATCTGGGTATACTATGCCGTGAAATTTTCATTGCAGATAACTTTAAAAAAAAGTTTTGTCATTTTGCAAAGAGTGCATAAAATAAGACGAAATATTAAATCTGAAATCAGTGTTTTTAATGTAATTTCAAAGCAAAGTTATCACTAGGTGGAAATTTTTATGTAAGAACAAGAAAAAACAAGCTGTTTCCATGTATTCTGTATATGAAAATTTAAATTCTCTTTTCTGTGGTGACTTTATTATGGCCACAATAAAAACATTTTTTCTGTTTTGTAATGTGCTAGCAAATCAGTGCATCAACCATATGCATTAATCTGATGCCGACATTGTACTTTAATGAATCACCAGTGATGTAGAGTCAGGTGGATGTGAGGACCTGATGGAGCCAGCAAGACTGGGTGCTGATGCTGGGCCATTTGATTCTGTCAAACATCCACTTTTATCTCCCCTATCTAACTTATCTAACTTTCATTGTCTGTATGAAATTAAATTAATGGAAATTTTTGATTGATTGATTTTCAAACTTGAATAAACTATGGATACAGTTCATTGTTACAGCAGAGTTACCAAGAACACAACTACATTGTTGCAGCCATAACCAACAAAGGTGAATCTTAATGTGAGAAAATCAGTAACTAGTTTTAAGTTTATTTTCTACATTTTTAAAGACTTATCCTAAAGCAAAATTAGAGGTCATTTACACAATTAAAGAGTTGGAGGTTATTTACACAATAAATGAGTTGGCGGTCATTTACTAAACAGAAGAGTTGAAGGTCATTCAATCAATTAAAGATTTGATGACCCAATAGGGAATTCAACCATGAAAAGAATTAGAGGCTACCTCAATACTTAAGAGTTTGAGGTCTGCTCAATAGTAGAGTTAGAGGTCCTCTCAAAACCAGAGTCAGGGGTCCACCCAATAGTAGAAATGGATCACTACCTAAATAGTAGAAGTAGAGACTTACTGAATAATAGTTGTGAGGACCATTGATTCGCCACAATGACAGTTCCTCCAGACATCGATACACATCCTGGAGGCTTGAGCCTTTCAGCTGGTCAGTGTACTTGACCGCTAAGGCAGCTAGACTGCTATGACAAGCCGAGTTGTCCTGGAATAAAAAACAAATTTTGTGTACTATACACCTAAGAAAATTTCCCTGCTGTAGAAGATATCATGCAACTAAAATTTTGAAATCTTGGTTTAAAAATGGCAAAGTGGCTTCATTATTGACTACACATTTAATTATTTGTAATCAGATTTTTAGTTACCAATACATTGGATGACCATAATAAATTAACTCAACTTAACTGCCCATGGGTTGTTTATGTTACATCAGACACAAGAATTCTACAGAACTTATGGGGGAGGGGAATGCAGATCACACGTATCAAAATATTATATCAAAGTGACAAGTCAGGAAAGGAATTTTCAAAATTAGCAATAAGAACATTTCATAAAGCCAATTTCTTCTTAAATAGAACATTGCATTACCCATTCCAAACATATATAGCACTTCTACAGCTATATATGTATAGGTATAATACCACACCACAAATACTTCAGATGTTTTCATCAACCACAAACAAAAAAAATGTAATATATTTGAATTGTATACATATTATCACCTCATAAAAATTTCATTATTCACTATACACTGCTACCTGTGGTACAGTGGTCTGTTACAGTGTTACACACGACTGACACTGTAGGAAATGTCAACAAAAGTCAGGTCCAATTCAATGCCCACAAATGTGGATTTACATAGACATGCTAACAGATGTACATATAATCGGACAATAGTCCAGAATTTGTGGCACCAGAGGTGGGTATAGGACTGAGTGGGGCGTCCAACCCTTCAGTACAGGAAGGCTTTGATGTCAAAATGTCTTGTATTTTTATCAACTTTCACAGTTGGGAGACTGAGTCAATATTTTATTTTGTATATCATCTTTTATTTAATATCTATCCTCCTAACAAATGAATATTCAGTAACACTGACAATCCTATAGCAGGTCTTTGTATTGCCACAAAACGTTATTCTCCAGTATTCCCCGCTGTGTAATATACAAACACAATTACATCTGGTCATAGACACAAAGTCTGCAGCAAATAAAAAATTCAAACCCACTTCTCCCAGCCAAATAAAAAAATACAATTCAATTTTTTAAAAATGTCAATAATGACATGCAAATTTCAATCCACGTCATGTGTTGAACCGAAGGAAAATGAAACAATGATCAATAAAGAAGAATAATTGTCTATCAAAAGTCACACCATGAATTTCTACCAGGTTTTCTTTTTTCCTAGACCTCACTTATCCTAACTTAAATTTCAGTGTTATTACATGATGACCATTTGATATTGACAATACATTAATGAAATCATCAGTAATGGTGAGCTAATTATGAACATGTGTATTCCCTACAAACACACATGCATGTTATCAGGCCATGTGCCACTAAACCATTGCACAAGGATACATGTATGTAGGTATAGATACAATAAACACACAACCGTTATCATAATGTGCAGATTGAATAACCTTTCATTAATGAAGTACTCCCACAGCCCTAAGGTCAATTTCTTATAGTATTTTTTAATAAACTTTTTTATGTATACTATTTTTATGAGAGAAATAAAACTTTCCTGCTTTACGAACTGAAGCATAATGATTGTTTTCTTTTCTCTGAGTTGATACTATGATGCAACATTGTATCTACATGTAAATATAAACCGATGACTCAACATTTTAAGCAGACACATAAATCTGCAAAATATATGAAATGTAACAGGAGATTTTGTTTTTTTTAATTAACTATATATATTTTCTTTGCAATATCTGAGTTTCTATAATTCCATTGCATGCTGTAGATCCTGGTAGCCAATTATAAATTCTAGTAGAAAACACAAATTACAATGTACATAAAAACAGAATTGTCAGTATGACAATTATATACATATTAAATATTGTTGACGACTACAGAAATTATAAATAACATCATAATACGCTTAACAGCATGGGGTGTCTCTACCATACCAACACAAATTAATGGCCACATTACAAGTAAATTAAGATAAATAACACCAGTCTATTACAAGTAAACAAAGTGTAGTAAGGCAGTAAATGAGGCTACAGTTGCAGCGACTTCCAGATGTGGTGGTGGTGGTTGACTTGTTTGTGAGAGAGGGAGTTGGAGAAGGGGTAAAGGGGTGCTATCAAGGCAGATTCCAACAAGTTCATTAGCCCACAGTAATGGTCTAGTTATAGCTAGTAACACCCATACTGTAGACCGATGAAACACAGCACCAAGTATTAGATACACCTAGCTACAAATCTAACTCTAACAAATTCCAATCACAATGTTCATTACATTGTAATACCTCTTCAGCCAGCACTATTTAACAACCATCATACACCTGTTATTAACATCATCTGTATGCTGTAGAAGTCATCCCAATAAAACTCTACAGTCCAGGGCCTGCTCTTCTGAAGACAATCACTGATAAGCCAATCCATGTATAGTTTATACCTATACTCCGCAAACAAATATCTTATCAGTGATATATACCAAGCATATTTCTTATATATCATTCTAACTTATGAAGTTGAACTATTTCTGTGTACTAGGTGCTTGTCTCACCTGTATTAGCTACTGACCAGTAAACAACAGGTAATACAGATGACAGGCAGTCACAACATACCTGGGTGTACCTATCATTAGCTTTTCCCCACCATACACTAGGTACACATGTAGTACCCAGGGACAACTTGTATTTCGATGTGATCCACCTATCAGGTACACAGTCCTCTAGGGACGGCCTGAATACTGGTACATCTCACCTCCAACCAACGGGTAGTCCCAACCTCAACCCTCAACCTAACAAGGACATACCGAGTCCCTAAATTCACCCACCAGCCATCCCTGATCATCTACAGTATATACCATTGACAGTCCCTATTTTACCCAAGTAATTCTAAACCTTAAACAAGAATTTTTAGGCAACTATACACTGTTGCAACGCTATTTGCTGTTACAGGGATATGCTGATGATTTCAAGTTTTGGGACCCTAAGGATATGAGAATGTACATGATTCTTTGACGATGGAATAGAAGTTTGGTGTAGGGATGGAGGGTATTAATGATACTAGTTGTGGTAGCACAGATTAAGGTATTCATGCATGAATCCTAATTACAAAAACACAAATTGGAAACCCTGAAGTTCAGTCCACAGAGATAAAGTATGATGACAGGTTGATATTCATATTTGTATTACCATGTTATAAATTAATATGATATTATAAAGGTAAACGCAAGATATAAGTGAGGTGGGTTGCTACAGGTATGTCAAACATGTTATCTGTAAGTCAGTAAGCACAAAATCCAAATAATTTAGAGTTAACATATCACAGTCAACAGTAAGCATTATACACCAAGTAATTATAAAAGTGCTGGCTACCACACCTAACTGATAGTATGCTCTACCTGTGACAAGTATGGTGTGTGGATACCTGTAGTGTACACCTGTAGCTGTCTACAATAGCCAGCTGTCAGGAAGAGGACAAAGTGTTTAAAGGTATCACTTACTGCCTCTTCCACACTCCAACAGACATAGTCACTTATCATCAGAAACCACCCACCTTACCTATTCAATTGTTCATTTCTTATCAAATATTTAGACATAATAGTGATTAACTTGTTCCTAAAACGTTTTATGCAGTTTTATTGTATAAAACATTGAAAAGATAAAAATATTTAACTTTCAATAAACTAAAGCAGATGTATACGACAGACTAATATTAACTCAATAGAGCGCGAAGAACCACTCATATTTAATTTCATTTAACTATTTTTCAAATTTCTTAACAAATTCAACACCTGGACATCATTTGAAAGAGAAAAAATATTTCAAAGAAATGAAAATTTTTGAGATGAATCAGAATGTTCAACACATATTAGCACATACAATATTTGTCAGCTTTCTGATATTTATCAGTACAAGTGCTTAGTTATTGAAAATTCTGTTGTCTACAACAGTTTCAATTTCTAGAATATACTGTACAACTAAAGCTGACAGCTACATATATCACAAATACAAAAGCATATATTTAAATTCATATGTGTATTACTGTTTGATAAAGAAAGATGAAAACACATGTTGCATAAGTATAATTAATTTCTTTCTGCATAAGAGATATCTCAATTGTCACAAAAATTTGATAAAAATATACAATTTCTGTGACAGTATAAGAAATTAATCTAGACAAGTTGTTATTACAAAATGCTCCATTGCCAAATCTTTTTCATCTGTTTATTTTTCATTTCTTTTGGAGAAAAAAAACTTGTTCAGCCAACTGTTCTTCAAAAATTTTGACATTTTACAGTAAGCTCAGGATCCTAATTTCATGTGTATATTATGCAATGATTGGTGTCTGTGTATTGTGGACTACACAAACAAAGCTCCTCTCCAGCGGAGATTTATGAACTTGACGCGAAAAAGTTGTATTTACTCCACCCTTCAACTAATATAAGCAGGACCCAGTACACATATATATACTTGGAGTTATTTTCTCCAAGACTTTTATTCTTAATGTAAGCAAATCACGGGAGGTCGTAGTTCTCAGTACAAACAACAGATGTGATATAACTCATGCAAATTCACTGTTTGAGTGTTGGACCTGCATGCTCCAACCACATTGACAACTAGACCAAAACACCAGCCTAACATCAGTAGTATTATCACAGACTAACTTGTTATATATTATTTTAACACCTGAACTGAAAATAATTCAATACATCTACTTCTTGTCACCACAATGTTTCTGTTAAATAATAGAGCTTCAACATTTACATTTGTAGGATTTTTTTCAGGCGAGTCCAAAAGTCCAATTCAAACATTTTGACGAGTCCTAATTCTAAGAGATATAGTGGGTTCTCAAAGTTTGAGCAGTCCCATAGGATAAGTATGAGTCCAAAACTCAAATATCTGAGTCCCAAAAAATGTCACTTACATTTTATACATAAGTCTTACAGAATATTATATAACAAAGTATGATAAATTATGGATTAAATAAGTTGAAGTGTCATAAAATCGATTATATTTAAGTTAAAGAACACTTGTGTTCCAAAAAATAACGGTAGCCAGTTACACTACTCATCACTAGTAAGGTAACGAGCGAATGTGCCTGTCGGGTCAGATTAGTCAATATTAGCAATTACCGGTTTGATGTAGGGAGGGCATGCGAGGTCAATGCCATCCTTGACCAATTTGTCTCCAATACACTTCCTCAGCTGTTCCAGTGTTTTGTAGGGGATGTCATCGCCTGCCTTTGGGAGACCTCTGCGGGAGGACGCACTTCTCGTCCCCAATTTAACACTTTTACTTTGTTCCGTGCCATTCTTCACACACTTTCGAGGTACATCTGTGTTTTCTAATGTAAAGTAAACTGACGTGCCACCCTCCTCCCGGAGTCTAGTGACAGCCTGAAGTAAAATTTCTCTGTGAACCCCGTTGTGAACCCCAATAGCATCAAGATCGGCTTCACCAATCTGTTTACACACTTCTAACTCATCGTAACCATTATCTAAAAACGCCTGTGTGTATAATTCCAACCTAACGGATTTTAACCAGTCCACTATGATATTATCCGACATCGTCAAGCATCATGGTGGCCCTGTCCGTGTCCATGAACTCGTAATTCACAGTATGTCCTTACACTTCGGATCCTATCCGACAAGTGGAAGTAAGTCCACAACGTGATGCATTGAACACATTAGCTTGCGCACGCACCAGGAATCGCAGTAGTTACTGATACGGAGTGCGGTGAATGAAAGCGTCCGGATTTACTTAAATCGACTTTCTTGTTTTAAAACGCCACTGTAGAATAAGATTCTACCCCTCTTTTGTGCTTGTGTGTGTTTTGTGTTTAGGGATTTTTTGCCAAACTTGGTTTTCTATACTGCGTTTTATATAAAAGAAAAGCAGAATTCTTTTTATATTGAACATTTACATTCGATGTCGCCAGAGAGAAGATGACACCCTGAACATGGATAGATTGATTAGGGAATATTTTGACAGAAGGCCGATGATAACTGGGTAATCTATCACCCACGGCGAATATCTCATACGTATAATGAAAGATATCTTGCCCTTCAGACAATTTCTCGGACAAAGACGTAACTGTTTACTCAATATTTTCATGTCTAATTCTTTGACAATAGGACTGAAATTATCGTATCTAGATATGTCATTTATAATGTATACATGTTTATATAAAGATAGAAGCGGTTCATACAACCTCAACAAGACACAAGCATAGATCTGAAGCAGCAGGTTGATTTGGGACAACAAAGATAATAGCCTTGTAGAGCTAATGTTGCGACAAAAACAAATATTTACAACAAAGGCAGTTGTAAAAGTAAAATACATGCATACAGCCAATACAAGTAGGAAAAATACATTTGATGGCATCATGGGGAAAATAGCATAATGTTCCTAACACAGCAGCTATGATTATCATAGACACTGGCAAGTATTAGATCTACAAATTATGATCAATGAAAATATTACAGAGCAAACATTCTAGTACATACCTTACTAATAAAACAGTAACAATGTAATTATATTTACTGTTATAACTAGGTACGCAATAAAACAAGCTAATGAACAAAATGTAAACGAAAAAATGGTACTGAACGTATAGAGGCAAAACAAAAACACACTAGCGGTTTGTAAGATTTAATTGGCTCAAGAAGCGATACAGGTATCTAAGACCAGATCTACGCACAACATTTGTATGTAATTTGCACCTGCAGATCTGGCTCTTGATACAGGTGTTCAACATTGCTGAACGTTTTGTCATTCCCTACCTTGCTGCACATGAGGGATTTCGTCCCATACTTAGCTATCTCTCACCTCGGCAAACGGACTGCATTATCTTTCCGGGAACTATATAAATGATTGACAACCTGTTCAAAATAAAACCTGGTGCCAAACAATGAACAAACTTGAAATCTTCACAGACCATCGCTTCGATTCAGGTAACATGTAAAATAACAAGTTTGCTTTTATATGTACTTATTAGAACTAATATTAGCGTCAATAACATTTCTCTGCTGGTTTGCAAAGTAAACAAAGGTAATTCAAACTCAAATTCGATTAAACGAGAGCAACATGTAATCAAGAGACAAAAACGTGCACATAGACCCCTTGAAAAGTATTTCAAGACTATGCCAAGTGTTCTGAAGGGTAAACATGGTGTATTTCTTGGTCAATCTTAACAATAGCAGAACCATTAGGCATATCAAATGTTTCTAAATGAGATCATTGTAACGATCACAAAACTTCCCGATGATAATCTGCATCAACTCGCATCTCCGAAAAACCTGTGTCGAAAATTGATCGGACACCTGTCGACATCTTGCACGAAAATCGTGATATTGGGAATAAATCACTGAATATCAACTGCGATATTAAAAACAGGTTGGGGAAATGGGGGAATGTTCCTATCCAGAAATGGGGAAATGTTTCTATCTAGAAATGGGGAAATGTTTCTACCTAGAACGGGCATGTTCCTATCCAGAAATGGGAAAATGTTTCTACCTAGAAATGGGGAATGTTTCTATTTAGAAATGGGAAATGTTTCTATCCAGAAATGGGGAATCTAGAAATGGGGGAATGCTTCTATCTAGAAATGGGGGGAATGTTTCTATCTAAAAATTGATGAATGTTTCTATCTAGAAATGGGTGAATGTTCGCAATACGGAAGTTGAAATCATCCCACTTATCATACAGTTAGGCTGTAGGTAAAGATAGAATTTAGCTGTAGGCATAGACAAGTCTGCTGTGTCCTCGTCTCCCAATGTTGGTGTTCATATACGACGGAAATGCTCGATAAATTTCCTGTCAATTTAATAACTTACTTTTTCTGTTGAGAGACGGAGGACTTGTTGAAATGTTTTCTTTTGTTTCTCTTTACTAGGCGAAGTCTCAGAACTTGCTAAAGTGTCTTTTTCTGCTTTAGGTGAAGACATCGAATTTACTAAAGTGCTTTTCCTGCTGAGACTCGCTGAAATGTCTTTATTCTGCTGGGAGAATTGGGGATGACTACAGATTTGTATGAAGTGTATGATCTTTTGATTGAAGAGAAGATATTGATTTTTGGTATATGTATTTTCAACGGAAGACAATTCTTCGTGTTGATTATCCTCATAGAATCTATCACAGGGTTAGATTTACACGTACCCAAAAGTTCGTAAATTTCTGATGCAAATGCTGGTCTGAAGAAACCATGGAACAATAAAGTGTAATTAAAAAAAACCGTCATTATACGTCCCTGACAGATAACATTAGTGTATCATAGCTCACCATTCAATAACTAATAAAATATTCTACTTGGTGATTTGGCTTAGTCGAATGTTTAATTGTCAAAATATACCTAGGGCGTCTCAATCCAACTTGTAGAGAAGAGGAAAAAAATCAACGTGTGTATGAATATGTGAAAAAAAATATATTTGCGGCAAGCAAATAAATGAAAACCTTTCGAATCAACACGAAACTCACTTTAAACTTTAAATAGTGTCACCAGAAAATTTCTTCTAATGATATAATGACATCTGTATGATACCCTATATGGGTTCAGAATCGCCCAAAAACTACTTGTTTTCCTTGAAAAATTTTTAACGACAAAGTACCGGTTTATATTTTTTATAGTAGTAGTAATAATAATAGAATAGCCTGACTAGATGTCTCTAGTTTGACGCTGTATAAATTTATTTCTGATTAATTGTGGTGCACTCATTAAACACTGATTTCATATTCAAGAAAATCGTCTGCTACGCCGTCTTCTAACAATCCGGAATTTGTTCAACGTACTCGGATTGATAATATTGATTTAGAATATCCCTAAAATTATCTGCGTCAATCAAAACAGAAGGAGTCGCCCGTTCAACACAAGCTTTTCACAGACATGATAATTATAGCACGTGTATGGAGAAACAGGTAAATATTTTTGAGGATTTAAACTGATTTTGACAGAGTCTGTAGAAAACTGGGCAAACACCAACGTTTCTTGTTTCGATAGTCTGCTTGGCTAAACTATGTTATAACAGCAGTTCACTTACAACAGTATTTAGTGTCAGTCGTGTTGTTGTAAAATTCTGATTTCAACTACATAATGATAGGAAACCGGTGTAATTATATCGGATTTAAACCATTAAATAAGGAGTACAGTATTTATAAGAAAAAGTTAAGATTAAAAACAGTATGTACACAACTGTGTGTCATATTGATCAGTTGGTAGTGGGCAATATATTCATTATCTGAGAGTTACATTGCATCACAGAAGACTGATATTTTGTTTTTTTAATTGATAACTAAGTTTAGAGTGCATTAGCTTGCTTTACCAGTCTCATCTAGTTGGAAATCTTTATCCAATTTTGTGCATCAGTTTGACAATTGGACCAGGGCTCTTTGTTTATCAAATAAGGCAAAACTTCCTTAATTTTTTGCCCAGCTTTCTGGTAAGTCCCTATAAAGTCTTTGATGACACATATTGATATATGAAGGCAAATTGTCCCAATTTTGCCTGAAATGTTCAAAATGTTGATGAATTGAAATATGTGATAAAGAAAGCAGTGAAAGAAGTATGACATCCAGTCTTGTTTTCAGAGATTATTCACTATTTTGATCCTCATTGCAGACATGATTGAAAATTCATTTCGTTACTTAAAACTGACCTATCAAAAGGTATCAACAGAATAGTTTTGTGTCCTGTAAAGTTACTTATGCTCTATATTGAACCCCCAACAAAAATCAAACTTCAAAATATATATATCTCATTTTTGTTCTTGCCTTGCTTTGATTTGATTCTATAACTCCTAGTGATCAAATATCAGGATTCCATTCCATCTGCACAGTATTGAGTATTTCAGTATTGACCTTTCAGTGCCAATGGCATTAAAATTTTCTTTAGCACAATTGAAGTGTCTACTTTCATTGATGGTCTTACGGTTGTCCTTTAAATCTGGGCTATAAGAATCATCCTAAATCAACTTTTTATAATGCTTTCAGATTTGAGGAATAGCTAAGATGGGTCTGACAAAACAGTACCTGCGCTATGTACAAGATGCAGTATTTGGTCTGGTCGCTAGTCAGAAATCCAATGTGGTGTTCATGGAGCTAAAGGGAATGAGGGGGCGCCACTGTGCTGTAGGAGTGTGTGAAGATGTCATCATTTGGGATGTGCGCACCGGGGAAAAGGTAGGCAGTCATAAAACAACTTATGTAAAACATGTCTTATTAATCCAACTTTGTATTTTATTTCTTTACATGATCTCAGTATGACAGTCAATTTTAAAGACACTAATCTTCACAATGTTTGTTACTGCAGTACATGACACTAAAGGGAGACAAGCATGAAGTGACAAAGATAGCCCGCTCTCCAGACCGACGCCACATGGCAGTTGGGTACAATGATGGCATGGTTCGTATATTTGACATCTCATCAGGAGAAGCAACCATTAACTTCAGTGGACACAAGTCTACAGTGACAGCCTTACAATATGATGTTAAAGGGCTTCATCTGGTATCAGGAGCAAAGGTTAGTGTGAAGATGTACTAACAATCAGTAACTGTTTTATTGCTGTATTTAAATTTTGTCTTTTTAAACATTTAAAAATATGTGTGTGTAGATCTGCTTCCCACATACGACAGCGTTAAAATTAACTGTTAAGATAGAATTTTGTACTTATGTACACTTTCCTAGGTACAAGCCAGCCAGTACTCTGGTGTTTCCTTTTATCTTGGAGACACTTCAGACTTTTATTTTGTTGCCATAGGAAAAAAATGAAAATAAGAAAACTTCACATTTCAATTTTTTTTGTGCATGTTAGAGGTAATTTTCTCTTGAGCTTGATAGGTGTAGCAGTAGACAGGTAAGCCAGGGGTTATGGATTTGATTTTCTATGAGGACACTGAGGGAACTATGGAATGAAATCACCTATGATAGAACTGGAAAAGACTGAGGAATAATTTCCTCCTGAAAGATAAAGATAGAATAACCAATCCACATACAATAAATGTCTTAACAAAAATGTACTTTTAAGTCTCAATCAAAAGTTTACTAGCATACTTTTACCAAATTTACCATAAGTAAAAACTTGATCATTGATGTTATTGATTGACTCTTTATGAAACATATCATGATTAAAATGCTTTCAGAGTAACAGAGGTCATCATTTATTTCAATGTTACCAATAGGAATTAACTCGTAGACTGCTGGCTGATTAGACTTAGGCCCAACCGATAAAGCTAAAGAGAAGTTCTCTCTACTGTAATGGTAGATTGCAGCTAGTATTTACCAGGGTTGTTTTACTGTCAGTAATAGATGTATTGTGTAGACTGTCCCACTTTACACTAAAGACCCCATCATATATTGCAATAGAACCAAAATATACATGTTTTGAAATGTCATCTACCAACAGGACACAGATGTTATTGTATGGGACATAGTCAGTGAGAGTGGTCTATATCGACTCAAGGGTCACAAGGGCATGATCACCCAGGCCAGGTTTCTGTCAAAAAACAATGTGCTGGTCACAAGGTAAGAAATGGATTGTTTAATGTGAGAGGATATTTTGTGATCTTAATCTGAACTGAATGTATCTGATATGTACCCATTATTGGGCTTACTAATGATACCTTATGTCACACACCATGGGGTGTAGATTATCTTTTATATTCCACTGTAAGAGGTTTTGAGATCAAACTGAAATGGAGATCTCCCTTAAAAAAGGACATTTGTATTATCTGCAAGTATGTGATATTATCTCATATACTGTGATATATATCCAAGATTAGGAGTCCGTGATATCACCAGAATGAGAGTCTGTGATGTCTTCAGAGTGGGAATCTGGGAAATACCAAAGAGTATGTGAGCATGTGATATTGCCAAGTATTAAGAACTGATATCCCTAGGATAGATGTGTTTGATATCCATTGGACATGAATCTGGTGTCCCAGAAGATGGGACTGATATGCCCTAAGATTAGGAACTACAATATCTTTTTGAGTGAGTTGTATACTTTAGGATGAAGGAATGAGGTATCCCTTAGGATGGAAACTGTGATACCTTAGAGCTGGGAACTGATATCTTAATGAAGGGAAGTATGTGATATCACCATGCATGAGGGATTATGTAGGTCCGCTGGGGTAGGGGACTATGATATCATCTGAAAATGGTAGTTTACAAAGTCTTTCTGTAGAAGGGGGCTGTGATCTCAATATGACTTGTGGTTTGTCTTAATGCTGAATCTTTATGTTTACAGTTCAAAAGACACATTTGTGAAGTTTTGGGATCTAGATACCCAGCATTGCTTTCATACGTTGGTTGGACACAGGACAGAGGTAGGTGAATCCTCACTAGTTACATTTTATAGGTATTATATTGTCATGTTTGTCTAGAATGTTGAGACATTTGTCCTGTGTACATTAAGGATTAATTAGATGTTATTGTAGTTTTATGATGTGATTGATGATGTTAACAGGTACATGACTTTGTCATCACACGTGATGGCCACAGGATTGTAACAGGATCAGGAGATAGTGAATTACGTGTTTGGGATATCAATTACATCACAGAACAGGTAAATATATTGTTTCAGTGTAGTTACAAATGTAATAATGTATGTGAATGTGGAAATAATACATCAAGGTTTTACTGTATGTAAATGTGGGAATAATATATCAAGGTTTTTACTGTATGTAAATGTAGGAATAATATATCAAGATTTTGCTGTATGTAAATGTGGTAATAATATATTTAAGTTAAACTATAATATTTTCAGTAGCATAAAATATATTGTTCAAATGGTTGACAAAATATTTAGGCTGGACAACAGGATGATGATGAACCACAGAACAAACGGAGAAGACTTCAAGTACCAGACAATGATGCGTCTGATGGTGAAGAGGAATCAGAAGACAGTGATGATTTGGTATGTATAAGTTGTCCATGTTAATAATGAATGTAATGGCTTTTCATGTTCAGGCATGTAAAAATGAAGGGCAGACAATTTCTAAGAACCTATTATGGTCATCAATATCTTTGTAAAATGTGGAAAGAAAGAGTTACTTCCCTTTTTATACATGTTCTAACTGGATGTCCTTTGTTTCAGACTATCCTCCGCTGTTCCAAAGTTGGCTCCATCATGAGACAAGGTCGTGATAGAGTGGTTTCCATGACAACAGATGAATCAGATCAAGTTCTCCTCTGTCATGTGAGAGATGAATTTTTAATATAACAAACAATCAGTAATTAAAACTTAAGTTATTGTCTTTAATAAGACTGGTCCCTTCACAGTGTAACAGAACATAGAACTACTTTATATTTATCTGTGTTCTCACCTGTAATCATACCATCAGTTGGCCCAGTGACATTGTAGGTGTATTATTTTAACTGTGCAGCGTTATAACTTGATTGTCAGTATTGTTATGTTTTATCTCCATAGGGTAATGATGCTTTAGTTGAGGTGTACAAACTTCCATCTGAACAAGAATTGAGTAAGCGCCAGAGTAAACGACAGAAGAAACTAAACAAAAAGTCAAAGTGAGTAGAGTATTGGGTGAGGGAAATTACTTTGTAGCATGTGTAGTCAAGGTCAGTGGAAGAATCGAAAACAATGTATTACTTAAAGTTAAGGCGGAAATTAAAGTCGGTGTACAGTTTGAAACAACTGTATTCCTACAGGTTTTGCACTGTATTGCTTCAAGGTTCACACTGAAGTCAAAGAAGTGAAGGCTTGAGAATAGTGTACTGTGTCTGGGTTTACATGCAAGTCAGTTGGAGTGCATTGCTTTGAGTTAACATTGATTTTCTAAGTTCCAGACCCTTTATCATGTCTGTTGAATATTAAACTTATTGTTTGTTTTTTGTAACATCATGATATATATATAAGTTTTCTTTAAAATAAAGGTTTTTTGTGAATGTATTTTTTCCTTGGTATATAGTTAATGTACATGTATATTTGTATGAAAATAGTTCTCATTTTTTTTACATTTGTGTATAAAATATTTGAAAAAACTGCTCATCCTAGCCAAGATTATATCCAACTTCATTGCAACTTGTCTTCAGCATAATCTTTAAATGACTAGTAATGTGGCTTTCTTTGACAGAGCTGATGGGGAGGAGGGAGAGGTCAAGACAGCAGAACTCACTCTGGAGGATGAAATACAGAAGGTTACCTGTATCAAGATGACCTCTAAGGTAGCTTCAGTTGACGTGGTGCTGGAGGAAAGTTCACAGGCCAAGGTGAGAACAGATATGTAGTGTTAAATGTCCTGGGTCAAAAGGCCTTATGGTGATTAGGTTATCCAGATCACTTGCTGGAAAGAGCACAGGTGATGTGTAGCTCAAGGTAACAGATGCTTTTGTCTTAAAGGCCACAGACGCAAGAGACTAGAGTTGTAAAAGTTCTAGGCTTTAAGGTGAGTGCAGGTGATGCATTTCTGAAGGGTCACACTTTGTGGTGAAACAAATGATTTGAAACTGCACCACATGCACAGCCCATCAAAGACATGGGCTGTGCATGTGGTGCAGTTTACAGGGTCATGGGTTATGGGGAGTACACTGGATGTAGTTTGCAGGGTCAAACATGCAGGTAAATACAGATCACATGGTTCTAAAGGATAAATATAAAACTTAATTCTATGATGCCAAATATAATTCTCAAACAGAGAATTAATGCTGTCAGTAACATTTCATGTTATTGAATTCATACTAGATTACATTTGGTAAAGATTATATTGGAATGAGTAATGAGTGTTCTTTTTAAAGATGGTGGTCATACTAAACAACTCACTCCATATATGGTCCTGTTACAATGAGATATAGAGTAAGATTAGAGTGTTCTATCACACATAATGGTCGTACTAAACAACTCACTCCATATATGGTCCTGTTACAATGAGATATAGAGTAAGATTAGAGTGTTCTATCACACATAATGGTCGTACTAAACAACTCACTCTATATATGGTCCTGTGACATACAGGTATTGGGTTTAGTGAGATTAATAAGATTTGACTATTTTATTACAGATGGTGGCGGTTTTAAACAACAACTCACTTCAGACGTGTTCGTGTAACATTGAAGTGAAGAAGTGTACTGCAGAGAATGTGAAGAATTTGACCATTCTTGGTCATCGCACAGATGTACGGACAGTGAGTTTTAGCTCAGACAACACAGCTATACTATCTGCCAGTGGTGAGACTGCCAAGATCTGGAACAGGTACTAAATACGTGTTGTGTATTAATGTATGAAAAAGTATTGTACAACTTTCTTACCCTTGAGACAGGTTAAGTTTTTGGACTTAAAAATCTTAGGGTTTTAGCTATGATTATTAAGTTGTGTTGCCTCATTGCTACAAAGGAACCGAAACAAAACTTACATGTTACTAATTCTGCAGGTCTCCATTCCCATTGTTTAGAAGGTTTATTGTGATCAGTTTCTCTGAAAGAATCACTTCAGCAACAAAATATGGTGTGTAGGTAGATCATGGGTGTATAAATCAAATCAATTAGATTACTATGATCTATTTTGGGGTGAACAAATATGAATTTTTAGTGGATTTTATAAAGCAGGGATGGCAAGACATAGCTCCACAGAAAACTTGTATGGATTATTGTGTTGTGATTGCAGATCGACATTGCAGTGTATTCGAACTATGCCCTGTAGTTACGCCCTGTGTTCCACCTTTGCTCCTGGCGACAGACACATTATCATAGGCACCAAGGTAATGGACCCTGTATAAAAACGCTCAGTCTGTACTCGTCGCTGATTGAGTGTCACATATTTCCCGTAAAGGATCCTTGATTCTGAAAGGTTAAAAGTCAACGTCAAGACTTCATTTACTTATTAATTCTATATATAGCTGACGTGGTGAAACAGGTATTGGCAGTTGTAATGAGTAGGTAAAGTCTATTTTCTACTATTTCATATCATTATGTACCAAATATTTATCAAGGTTGTCAGTAGATCAAATTATATTGTTTCTGTATTCTGTGTTATAGAATGGTAAACTACTGATATTTGACATTGCCAGTGGATCTCTACTGGAGAGTATAGACGCTCACAGTAAAGAGGTGTGGTCTTTATCTATGACCCCCGATAAGGTAAGTGATAGTACAAATATACACATTTTAATATATGCCTACTATGATTAATAGCTTTTTTAGATTATATATATACATATATAGCCCACTATTATCAGATGCTGGGCTTTCCCAATTACTTACTATCTCGCTATGATGAAAGAGCAACAGCAAGATTAATGTGTTAATTTCTGTTGGCTTGACTTCCTAAAGTTTTGGAAGTTGTGTTAAGATCAGTATCTTGCAAAGCATAAATTGATGTCAAGTAAGATCATATGAGGTTCCTTTTAAATGAGATAAAGGCAGGGAATACTTTGGTACATTTTACCCAATTTTTTTTTGTTTTTTGTTCAAATGATGGAATTTTGTGGGTTTCCAAAATTAGAATTTCTTGAATTGAATTCATTTTTTATTCTGTATGCTTCCCAAAAGGAGAGCACATATTTGCTGCTTTGTCTGTCTGTCTTTCTGATTGTCTGGAGTATAACACAAAAACTATTAGAAGTATCGACATAATAATTTATAATTAGATAGATCTCAGCAATCAGAATTGCATTGCACCATAACCCTCACTCTCATTTGCTCATTTGCATAATTTAGGAGTTATTGCCCTTTCTTATTTTTCATACCTAATTTTGTCCAGTGCATTACACTAAAACTATAAGAGGTATCTACATAAAACTTAATACATAAATAAGTCTCAACATAATCACTGTTTCTCAAGTATGGATTCAATAAATGCATGTCAATTCAGAGATTTATATAATATTCAAGATGACCATCAGAGCTATTTTGGATTTGAAATCTGAAATTTATGCCACTAGTTTTCAAGAGTAATTGGAGAGGTCTTTATGCTATAATCAAGTTACTACATGATTCATTTACAGTTGACCTGACTTAAAATGTAACATATGATAAAGTTGATTAAATATAAAAAAAATTAAAGAGTCAGTGAAGATCTTTTTATTTTGGGCTTATTTTGACAGCGAGGAATTGTGTCAGGCAGTGCTGATCAGCAAGTCAAGTTCTGGAATTTTGAGCTAGTCAGTGACACAGATAATTCTAGTACAAGGTGAGTAGGATAAAATTCAAAATCTCATAATGACACAATCTCAGACAAACCACATACTGATATTCAGTCACACACAATACACTGAAACATACATTATACAATATTTACATTTCCGGTGTGTATCCTCTAAATAGACCTACCAACGAAATTGACGTTTACACTTCGGTAAACCTTACGCGTATGAATACATTGGCCTTCAGTAACTTGACAGCAAGCACACTTGGCTTGATGCCAATAAACACCGGACGGCTATGAATGAAAATGATAACCTACAGACAACTTCTTATGTGTACGAAAAAACATTATACAAAATGAAAGAATTACTTACAAGTTGTTGTTTTTTGTTTGTAATTCAAATAAATGATGCTATATTGTGGAACTTTATTTGCTTATGTCTTGTGTATGACAATTGTTTCCGCCAAATTGGAGTCAGCTGTTCGGCTATTCCATCAGATGTCAGGTATTCTCGCCTAAGCGTGTAATGTCCAAACAATTGAAACCAGAATTTTTTAATGCGGTATTCTCAAAGAGGAAACCAAAAAAATGTAAATATAAGAAATAATTTTAATTTTTTGTTGTTTACTGGTGTGTAAACTGCATTTATTTTTTACAGATATTTTAACATGACGCGCTAATGCTGTCTGTAAAAAAAATGCAGTTTACACACCAGTAAACAACAAAAAATTAAAATTATTTCTTAATTATTCACATACCTTGTGTTTAATAACTATGCTATTTCAGGTTATAATGTAGGTTCTGACATTAAATTTGCTTTCTAGGTTCAAACAAAGTAAGATTTACTCACAACCCTCTATTATACAGTCTTTTAAATCAGATACCACTATGGCATTGAATTTTGAGGTTTTCAACCTTACCCACATCATGAATTATTAAATCCACTTAAGGGAAAGAGATTCTTGGAAAGTGAGACAATAAAATAAGAGGTTATTGGAAAATGGGAAAAACAGACTTAAAGTGATAAATTGTGGAACAACCAGATTACTGGTGACAGGATAGTGAGTCAACAATAGTATGGTTGGCTTTATAGTGAGATTACTGGATTAGTGGTGACAGGATAGTAAGTCAACAATAGTAGGGTTAGTGTAATAGTGAGATTACTGGATTAGTGGTGACAGGATAGTGGGACAAACAGATTAGGGTTAGTGTGATAGTGAGATTACTGGATTAGTCGTGACAGGATAGTGATACAGCCAGATTAGGGTTTGTGTGATAGTGAGATTACTGGATTAGTCGTGACAGGATAGTGATACAGCCAGATTAGGGTTAGTGTGATAGTGAGATTACTGGATTAGTGGTGATAGGATTGTGAGACAAACAGATTAGGGTAAGCGTGATAGTGGGACTACTGGATTAGTCGTGACAGGATAGTGATACAGCCAGATTAGGGTTAGTGTGATAGTGGGACTACTGGATTAGTGGTGACAGGATAGTGAGTCAACCAAATTAGGGTTAGTGTGATAGTGGGATTATTGGATTCGTGGTGACAGGATAGTGAGACAACAATAGGAGGGTTAGCTTGATAGTGGGATTACTGGATTAGTGGTGACAGGATAGTGAGACAACCAAATTAGGGTTAGTGTAATAGTGGGATTACTGGATTAGTGGTGACAGGATAGTGAGTCAACCAAATTAGGGTTAGTGTGATAGTGGGATTACTGGATTAGTCGTGACAGGATAGTGATACAGCCAGATTAGGGTTAGTTTGATAGTGAGATTACTGGATTAGTGGTGACAGGATAGTGAGACAACCAGATTAGGGTTAGTTTGATAGTGAGATTACTGGATTAGTGGTGACAGGATAGTGGGACAACAATAGGAGGGTTAGCTTTATAGTGAGATTACTGGATTAGTGGTGACAGGTAGTGGGACAACCAGATTAGGGTTAGTGTGATAGTGAGATTACTGGATTAGTGGTGACAGGATAGTGGGACAACAATAGGAGGGTTAGCTTGATAGTTAGATTACTGGTTTAGTGGTGACAGGATAGTGAGACAACCAGATTAGGGTTAGTGTGATAGTGAGATTACTGGATTAGTGGTGATAGGATTGTGAGTCAACCAGATTAGAGTTAGCTTGATAGTGGGACTACTGGATTAGTGGTGACAGGATAGTGGGACAACCAGAGTAGGGTTAGTGTGATAGTGAGATTACTGGATTAGTGGTGACAGGATAGTGAGTCAACCAGATTAGAGTTAGCTTGATAGTGGGACTACTGGATTAGTGGTGACAGGATAGTGGGACAACAATAGTAGGGTTAGCTTGATAGTGGGATTAGTGGTGACAGGATAGTGAGACAACAATAGTAGGGTTAGTGTGATAGTGGGATTACTGGATTAGTGGTGACAGGGTAGTGAGACAACAATAGGAGGGTTAGCTTGATAGTGAGATTACTGGATTAGTGGTGACAGGATAGTGAGACAACAATAGGAGGGTTAGCTTGATAGTGAGATTACTGGATTAGTGGTGACAGGATAGTGAGACAACAATAGGAGGGTTAGCGTGATAGTGGGATTACTGGATTAGTGGTGACAGGATAGTGAGACAACAATAGGAGGGTTAGCTTGATAGTGGGATTACTGGATTAGTGGTGACAGGATAGTGAGACAACCAGATTAGGGATAGCGTGATAGTGGGACTACTGGATTAGTGGTGACAGGATAGTGGGACAACAATAGTAGGGTTAGCTTGATAGTGGGATTATTGGATTAGTGGTAACAGGATATTGGGACAGCCAGATTAGGGTTAGCTGAGTAGGATTACTGGATTAGTGGTGACTAGATAATGGGGCAGCCAGATTATTGTAGCTGGATGGTGGGACAACTGGGTTAATGATGTCTGGTTGATTAAGCTCTGTGTAATTACTGTACAGTCCCTTTAATAACCTTGACTGTGTTTTATGTTATAGTAAACGTTTGACTCTGGAACATTCACGCACATTACGTATGGATGAGGATATCCTGGCAGTTCAGTGCAGGTAACATCATCAGAATCAATACTCCTAGTGTGTTGGTCTCTCCTCATATAGGTAGGGTTAAAATAACTGTAAACAACTGGTATGTTCTGGTAAAAAATTTATCATGGATATCAAATAATAATTACACGGTTCACTGTGTTTATACTTCAAAGATCTATCTGAATAAATGATGTTATAATGGGATTTCAGTGAAAAACTGTTTTCAGATGACAAGGTTACCTAGCTGTAATTGACAATAAATATTTTTTTGTTTTAAACTTTTTCAGCCCTGACAACAGATTGATAGCAGTATCCTTGCTGGACAATACAGTTAAAGTCTTCTTTACTGACACACTTAAGGTCAGTATCCTTGTTGGTTAGCATAGTAAATATCATCTTTACTGATTCATGCAAGGTCATTATCCTTGTTGACCAATACTTTTAAAGTCAAGGAACAAGTTTGACCATTTTTAACATTTTTTGATTCAGCTTTTTGTGTATAGACACAAGTTGCCTGTCCTCTCTGTGATACAGCTCCCCACTACTGTCCCCACTAAGGTCTACACCTTATTAGATATTGGTTTTTATTGGCCAGGGTTAATGATCAAAGGTTGCCCTTGACTCTGCAATAGATTCAAACCAGAAGAAAAAGATAAGGGGCTGGGGGTATATTTATATGAGCCACTGCTCTCTTTCTTTGAATTTTTCCTTCTTACATTTTTTCTGTCTGTGTTTGACACAATCTGCCTATTATTGCTAAGATTTCTCCTTTTTGCCTTTTTTCTGTCCCTGATGTATTTTTTGCCTGTTACAGTTTTTCCTCTCCCTGTATGGACACAATCTGCCTGTTATTGCTTTCTCCTTTTTGCTTTTTTTCTGTCCCTAATGTATAATTTTTGCCTGTTACAGTTTTTCCTCTCCCTGTATGGACACAATCTGCCTGTTATTGCTTTCTCCTTTTTGCTTTTTTTCTGTCCCTAATGTATAATTTTTGCCTGTTACAGTTTTTCCTCTCCCTGTATGGACACAATCTGCCTGTTATTGCTTTCTCCTTTTTGCCTTTTTTTTGTCCCTAATGTATTTTTTTTTTGCCTGTTACAGTTTTTCCTCTCCCTGTATGGACACAAATTGCCTGTCCTCTGTATGGATATCTCCACAGACTCCACACTGCTGGTGACTGGCTCAGCTGACAGAAATACCAAGATCTGGGGCCTGGACTTTGGGGACTGTCACAAATCTATCTTTGCTCATGATGACAGGTGAGACCTAACATACCTTTGAGCACATGTGACTTCATTTAAACATCTCAAGTAAATGGCCGCACAATCAACAACAAGACTTCAATTTTCTGCTTTTATTTATAACTTAGACTTGCTCTTATCACAATTTGAAGGCAATGAATTTTGTGTTACCTTGTCAGATATTGAACAAAAGGAGCAATTTTTTTGTTAGAACTTGAATCCAGTGAACAATTACCGTGCTAGATTTTGAGCACAGTATTATACAGTACAGTCTATCTTTGAACAAAATATTTTGTTGTCCTCTCAAAATTTTAACAGAAGGATAATTGAGCTATCTACTGTTGCAGCATCATGTGTATAAAGTTTATACCACGGACACACCTGTTCTTTACTGGGGGTAAAGATGGCACCATTAAACAGTGGGATGCTGACAACTTTGAAAGTATTGTCACCTTAAAGGTTTGTACCAGGTCTGAATTGTAAAACTACTGTTATTTTTGGGAGGTCAAACAGAATTTCTACAACCACATTCCAACTGTTTTATTGACATTGAAGCACTTTTATTTTAATGATGTAGTGCAGGTGGGTAATACTTATCAAAATTCACAACGCCAAGTAGTAAAGCTATGGTCAGTTGACGAAGTGATGTTAAAATAAATCAACATTTATTTGTTACTAGAGACAAAAACGTTTATCTGTTACATGGGAAATAAACATCTATCTGTTACTAAGGACAATATCCATATATCTGTTAGTAGGGCCAGTAAACATATATCTGTTAGTAGGGCCAGTAGACATATATCTGTTACTAGGGCCAGTAAACATCTATCTGTTACTAGGACCAGTAAATATCTATCTGTTACTAGGGCAGTAAACATCTATCCGTTACTAAGGACAATGTCCATCTATCTGTTACTAGGGTTAATAAACATCCATCTGTTACTAGGGTAAATAAATAATTGTCATTTACTAGGGACTTTAAACATTTATCTGTTACTTGGGCCAATACTTATCACATTTACCTGTTGCTGGGGACAATAAATATTTATGTAACCATGGTAAATACTAGCCATTATCCTCTATTACATTTATTTTTTAAACAGGGACATCATGCAGAGATCTGGTGTATGACCACAAGCCCAAGCGGTAATTTTCTGGTGACGGGGTCCCATGATAAATCCCTTCGTCTGTGGGAGAAGACACGGGAGCCACTGGTACTGGAGGATGAAAGAGAAATGGTAGGTCCAGTGTGTAACTTGGCATCGCTGGTGACCTTGAACAATCATCAATGGTTTAAAACAAAACAAAATTTTTCTTGAAATCTGTGAGGATTTATTTGATAGTCGCCAGAAATGATTCAGGGCTTATTCAGATGAAGTGTTTTCATTTTATACTCCCGCCATTTCTTGAAGGAGCCATCAGCATAAAGTCATTTCCACTCATTTACACTTTAAGAAAACTCGTCTTAACAAGGCCAATTATACGAAAAAGTTTTACACCTTCTAGGTTGAAGGTGTGGGCATTTTTGTTGATCTGACACATTTAGTGTTGAATGGCTTGAAAATCAACGATGTGGGCTTAATTTACACAATCTGTCAACAGTGAGTGTTCAGTCATTCCGTTGCTTTGAAAAGATCTGTGATGAAAAAGTTTCTACAAAAAAGGTTATGAGGAAAAACCTTACAGCAGAATTTTATATAATACACTGCTATAGTGAAAACTTTCTCTGTTTAAAGGAGCGAGAAAAAGAGTATGAGGAGAGCGTGGGACAAACAGGGGAGCCTGTGGTAAGTATAACTCCTCACAAGGACTAGGGTAAGTGTTAGGAGGAGAGTGTGGGACGAACAGGGGAGTCTGTGGTAAGTATAACTCCTCACAAGGACTAGGGTAAGGGTTATGAGGAGAGCGTGGGTCAAACAGGGGAGCCTGTGGTAAGTATAACTTCACTCCTCACAAGGAATAGGGGTATGGGAAGGAGGAGAGCATGGGACAAACAGGGGAGCCTGTGATAAGTATAACTTCACTCCTCACAAGGACTAGGGTAAGGGTTATGAGTTATATTATAGTAAGAATAACATAAGATATCTCACATATGTGTCTTATTGACAACGAGGCATAACTTTTTGTTCTAAATGTCGCCCCTCAATGTAATGTGTTTAGTTCACACAGGAGTGTAACTGTTAATGGTAGATGTCGCCCCTCAGTGTAGTGTGTCTTGTTGACACTGGATTGTAACTGTTAATAGTAAATGTCACCCCTCAGTGTAGTGTGTCTTGTTGACACAGGAGTGTAACTGTTAATGGTAAATGTCGCCCCTCAGTGTAATTTGTCTTGTTGACACAGGAGTGTAACTGTTAATGGTAGATGTCACCCCTCAGTGTAGTGTGTCTAGTTCACACAGGAGTGTAACTGTTAATGGTAGATGTCACCCCTCAGTGTAGATTGTCTTGTTGACACAGGAGTGTAACTGTTAATGGTAGATGTCACCCCTCAGTGTAGTGTGTCTTGTTGACACTGGAGTGTAACTGTTAATGTAGACATCACCCCATAGTTTAATGTATGAAGTTGACACTATGACTGATATATATATATATATATGTGATAATTATATTTGTTTCCATGATGACAGGTTCCTGGGGAGACCAACACAGAAGTGGCAATGGCTGGACGTAAAACTGTGGAAACTGTCAAAGGGGTAAGTCACCCACTGTTACCCTTATCATTATAACCCTACAGCAAAATTAGAGGGAACTCTCGGGGGTGGTGGAGTGTTCTCATTAAACCCTTACAACATATTTAAGGGGAAAAGTCTAGGATGTATGTTTTCATTAGACATCTATAACAAATTTGGGGTTGGGGGAGGGTGGGAGTCAAGGAAGTTTGCTCTCATTTGACCTCTACTATGATGAAGAGGAAGTGTCTAAGAGGTGTCATCATAAGACCCCTACAAAAAAAAAGTAAGGCTACTTAGAAAAATGTGGGAATCTTGAATTGTGATAAGATTATCTGTCTGTATGCCAGTATGGTCTCACACTCGGGTTTATACAGGGTATAATAAGGCTGGTGTTACACCTGTTTGATCAGTGGTTATATATATATTTATTGTATATTTTTTCTGATCTAACACTGATAAAGGGGAGAATTAGGCTGGTCAAAAGTCTACAAATTCTGTTATAACTTTATGTATATTTATATAACATAGGCTGAGCGTTTGATGGAGGCCCTGGAGCTCTATAAAGAAGAAACTGAAAAATTACAACAACACCTGGCTGAGTGTAAACGAGCTGGAAAACAGGTGAGTTGATAGACATTCACGGATTATTTACTATACATTCCATGCGTCAAAGAAGTAGCTAATAGTGTTGCTCATTCAATCATTGGAGTCCGCTATTTAGACTGATAAGGCCATGTAGCTTATCATGTATGTTAGAGACAACTTTGAAACAACTATGCATTGAATAAAGAAATTAAGACTTTTTGTTCAGTTATATTGAAGAGACATTAAGATATATGTAACAGGAGATACAGGCCACTTTAGCGTTACCTGGATGAAACCCTTAAAGTTTCGCAATACCATGCTACACCAGATGTTTGAACTGATACATATAAAGCTCAAAAGTGTCATAATGCCTTGTCAAGCATAAAATAATTGAATAAAACCAAGGTACCATCCATTTCATTCATACGTAATAGCATAATGCAGAAATATATGAGTGCACAAACCTTGCCTTATGCTGGAATCCTTCTAAAAACTTATTCAGCAAGTTAGTTTTGAACAGTTATGACTGGACGCTTAATCTGCATGTGCCAAATATTACGCAGTCCAGCCTCGGTCCCAACCAGTACTTGGCATTTTTTCTTGCAGGTTCAACTGGTCCAACCATTTGAATTGTTAACACAAAGGCGACGAACTATCTCTGTGTAACAGTTATCACCTTTTCACCCTATGTTGACCTTTTTCTCACTTTCTTCATGACCTTGTTATGCCATGCCAATTCTTGGGGTGTTGGGAGGTTCAGGGATAGGGGTGGGGGCAGTGTTGGACATACAGTGCTTATATTTTCTATTCAATTAAGACTGGAATCGTTCTCATTGCTCACCTTGATTTCTAAGGGGAATATAAGGAATATTCATACAAAGGTCAACTATAAGGTTGTGTTTCCGGACTCCATGGTTAAGCCTAGGTCACATTTACTATGTATAGAAAATGATCTATATTAGGAAAAACCTCTGATAAGTTCATGTTTAAGGATTTCAAGTTGAAGGTCATTGTTATTGTTTGCAGACTGTGGGTTGATAATATTTTTTTATTCGTTGTAGTTACCTATGCCTCCCCTCCATCCAATGCTGATGGCTTTTTCTGTGGATACTCCACTCAAATACATGCTGGAGGTGCTCAAAAAGATCAGGTCAAGGTTAGTGAATAAACAAATATCATCTTAGTTTGTTAACATATAAACAGTAGAAAACTAGGAAACCATGGTTATGTCCTAAGGAAACCATGGTTATGTCCTAAGTCTCCTATCAAACAGGTACGACTATCTCAGCATGACTTTGAAAAGGAATTTGTGTGTTTTAGAGAATAGGATGAGAAAAGAAGATGGCTTTGTTGTGTGTTTTAGTGAGCTTGAGAAGAGCAAAAATGGATAATTTCTGCATTTTAATGAAATGGAAGAGAATATAGGATTGAAATTTTTGTGTGTTTTATTGAACTGGAGAAGAATGTAGGATTTATTTTTTCTGTGTATAATGAACTGGAGAATAAGATTTACTTTTTCTCTGTGGTTCAGTTAACTGGAGAAGAATGCAAAATTAACTTTTCTGTGTTTTAGTGAGCTGGAGGAGAATATAAGATGTTTTCTTTTCTGGTTTTTAGTGAACTGGAGGAAAGTCTTCTGGTGCTGCCCTTTAACTATGTGATAGACCTCATACAGGTTATGGACATGTTTCTAGAGAGAGGCTGGCATGTGGAGCTCACCTGTCGTGTCCTCTTCTTCCTACTAAGGTAGGTCAAATCCTCCTGAAGTTATCCTATAAAATCTTCGTAACTTTCAGATTCAAATGTTCTTTAAATCAAATAATTCAACCTTCATTTTTGTTCAGTGTAGTTTTGAATAGTTTGCTAGAGACTTACAACATCCTTTAAGTCACCCATTTAATTGTACTTTTGGAATTTCCTTCTGGTGGTTTGCTAGGACTATATGAAATACAGCCTTTCTTCCTTGTTACCTAATCCTGTGTCCTTTGGATTAGTCTGCCAGTATTCACAAATTTTGTAGTCCGATTTATGAGCTGTTTTTTGGGATTAACAAAAGATACTTTGTTTGTTACATCCTGACATTTAGTTGTTTTTTTGACAGAGTACACCATGGCCAGGTGACGTCCAGTCCTGTCCTTATGCCTATCATTGACAGACTACGAAGCAGCACTCAGACCAAGGTTAACCAAATCAGAGTAGGTCATCATAAGTTCACCTCGTCACAAAAACACAAATGATTGTCTAAGTATTTTTGTTTCCTTTAATGACAAAATAAAACAAAAATTGACATGATGAGATTACTGTAATGATGGCATTTTATAACATTTACTGGTATATATGTTACAGGATCGAATTGGATTCAACATGAGTGGACTTCAGTTCTTACAGCAACATGTGGACAAATCAGGGGAGGTCATGCTCTTCAAGGATGCCACACTTAAACACAAAAACCGAAAGAAGAAGCAGAAAGTAACACTAGCTATCAAAACCTGACAAAAAGCTGGATTTTTTTGTTGTATTTTGTGGCATTTTTTGTAATTTTGTCTTTATTGGTAAAAAGAAACATCAATGGAGAATATGTTGGTAAGATTAAGGAAATCTGGTTATTGTTCAGCTTCTTTTCTGGAAAACATACAGAATCTGCAAATTGTTTTGTTAACATGATGAGGTAGGATGAAGAGTAAATAAAACAAAAGGAAATTGGTATTCTTTGTGTAGTATATTGTCCCCATGACTTAATGCTTGAGTTATAGTGATTTAGATGAAGATAATTCTCTGATATGTCCATGGTGGAAATAGGGTGGATGTGGCTGAAAGACACCATTATATATATATATATATATATATTATATATATTAAAATTGTTCTTGTCAGTATGAAGAACAAGTAGAATTGGTGTTTTTTTTTTTTATAGAAAATCTACATTTTATTCAAGTTCGAATACTTGAATGCTATGTTTGATTCATAGTTAATACATGTATACAAAAGATGTGCTATTATATAATGATTTTAGTAGTGACAAAAGACAGCTAATGGTGGCACGGTAAACATCACAAAGGTACAGCAAACTAACCGCATATAGGAGGATAACTAAGAACAGTGTGACATTAGCAAGATTAGTTAAGGGCATATGCTACCTGAAGTAGATATATAACTTTTCATACCCAAGAGTTACAAATCTCGTTTTCTAAATTTATGGGTTCAACTGCATTGTGTTGACATTGATTTTCAAAGAAATTTCTAATTAAAGGATTGTTGGAACTTTAGATAATGCTTATCATCAAACTCTTAGGGATCTAACATTATAGTCCGGTTGCCAAACCAAAGATTTTTGGAGGACCTTACAATGCGGTCCGTAAAAAAAGTTTTTTCACCTTTTCTATTCCTCTGTAGTGTGCTGTTCAAGAATCTGTATGATGCCACTCTGTCATCCTTGGCCAGTCCGTACAATATGCAAAGGGAGTCCGCCATTACTGGAAATCTTGTTTTCGTCAATTTCTCAGTAACCATAAATGGTGTCAAAACTATTTTGGTGTCTACCCCCATGTTATGACAGGCAAAGAATCTGATTAAGCCATTTTAGTAAGGATCACATGATATCAAGAACCAAAAAAATGGACGTTCAACCCCGTGTTTTTAGGGGCACATTCAGATTAGATAATTCCATCAAAAAACAAACAACCGTTTTCAAGTGCGAATGAGGTCCTCCATCATTAATAATCTTAGCTGTAACGGTCATGTAAAGCAGAAACTTTTCTGATAGTTAAGCGCCTAAACTGATATGAAAGGGCAGGAACAGACGAACCGCACCATCATCGTTCGGATGAGACGTTAAACCGCACCCATGTGTACAGAGTTACTCAAGCTGACATGGTCTACAGAGCTGAAAAAACTGATATGAAGGTGAAGGAGCAGACGAACAGCAGTACCGTTGTTTGGATGAGACGTTGAATCGCGACCACGTGTACAGAATCACCCAAACTGACAGGATCATCCAAGCTACATAAACTGAAGGTGAAGAAACGGGTTGTTCAGGTGGTATGTGGAACGCGGACATCGTATAAAGAGATTTGTTGGAGAACTTGAGTTCGGACTTTTTCTTTGTTTCACATTAGCAATTGATCAGCAAATATTAATCGGAAGAAAAACATAAATATATCTTCAAGGTAGAGTTTAGAGATGAAAGGGTGTTGCTTCTTGGGTAACGAAGATGGAAGCAAGAAGGAACTTGGCGTAGCAAGCACTGATAGGATACAGATTAGCATTGAATCAAGTACATGTGATTTTCTCCATGATGATCTTTCCGCAGACAAACATTTAGAGATCCTTTGTCATAGAGACTGTATATCTACATATATACTGAAAGGATAAAGAAATGCAGGGTTATATTTATTCCGATATTTTAAAAACGTGTTCTCCAAATAAAGTGAAACTTTGTGGATTAAGTAATTAGGTCATATTACACCTTGTCATGTATCAAAAATTTAGTCACGGTACAGTGCGCAGCTCTGGTAAATGGAGGAAGGAAAAAACTGGGCGATTGGCCGATCGACCTAGGTCAGGATGTCCGCGCGTAACGTCACGACGTCAGGATCGCTATATCGTCGTCTCTCATGTGCGTAATCGGCGCCTTACTGCCGTTGAGAGTGCACTTAAAGTTCGTGGTAATCTTGGGCGTCCTATAAGTTCAATAACTGTAAGGAATTGATTACGAGAAGTTGGTGTAAGAGCACGTCGCCCCTACGTAGGTCCACACCTTACCCCTGCACGACGTCAGCGTCGTATGGCCTGGGTCGCTGCACATCCTCCACAACGGTTTCCACTGAGGCAGTGGAGACAAGTTTTCTTCACGGACGAGTCTCAATTCTGTCTTTATCAATTTGACGGCCGTCAACGTGTCTACCGACGTCATGGCGAACGTTTTACGGACGCTTGCGTTGTAGAGAGGGATAGGTTTGGGGGTGGTTCAGTAATGGTGTGGGGAGGAATCTCACACGGGTTAAAATCACAATTGGTTGTTATTGATGGCAGTTTAATAGCAGCTAAGTATAGAGATGAGATCCTCCGACCCCATGTTACCCCTTTCTTACAGCAGCATAATCTAACCCTCCAGCAGGATAATGCTAGGCCCCACGTAGCAAGGATTTGCCAAGTCTTTCTGACCAACAACAACATTCAACCACTAGATTGGCCGCCATATAGCCCTGATTTGTCCACGATCGAGCATCTTTGGGACCAGTTGGATAGACAGGTTCGAAAGCGCCAGCCACCCCCTGCTACTCGAGAGCAGTTGACCAGAGCTCTGATTGAAGAGTGGGACAACATCGCCATAAGACGGATTAACGCTCTCATGAACTCTATGACCAGAAGAATAAAGGCCGTGACCACAGCAAACGGCGGACACACAAGATATTGATGACTCAGTTCAATTTCAATTTCAAAATCCTATGGGTCCATTCAATTCAATCATTACTACCTCTAAACCAATTGTCAGATGCAAAATACAGACTTTGGAAATTTGTAAGCTTTAATTTATCTGTAAGTATACAAAATTTCGTTTTAAATGAAGTCCGATATCATACTTAATTTCTGGTTTAAAGTTCACCCTGCGTTTCTTTATCCTTTTAGTATACATCCAAAACTCGCATCAAGAGGCACTTGAATAAGCTCAGCTCATCAAAATGTTCCGAAGAGACATTTGCAGTAAAACGTCTGCGTTGGTCCGGATCGAAAACCTTCAACTTCAGGCAGCATTGCCTTTTCTGTGGCGAGGAATGCTTCGACATTGATCCAAAACTTCCAGATCGGTGGATAGGGGTTGTTCTGTGTAGGACAGCAGACCGTGGTGAGGGGAGGAAGAATTATAAGAAAACACTTCTAGATATCTGCAGATCTCGCAAGGACAACTGGGGACACGAAGTAGTGACACGTTTTGCTGGGGCAGTGAATCATCTGCATGCAGATGGTAGATATCGCATAGACTGGTACAAGAAGTTGTGTTCATCTTGATCAGTGAAGTCAGCTTCAGCAGTATCTAGTAGCAGTCAAGAGGAGGTGGATGTGGCTTTTGAATCGACTGTTAATGCACTGAAAGCAGAATCATCGCGAATGTGGAATTCCATCAAATTATACGACCTATACCAGTCAAATGGCGGAGAAGGCATTAGCCGCCGAACTTTAGTCTCCAGGTTGTTAGAATACTTTGGTTCGGATCTTCTCCTGCTGAGTGGCACAGGTGTTGCTAATCTTCTTGTGTTTCGAAGTAAAGCATCAACCTTGTTGAGGCTAGTGCCGAGCAGTGATGAAGATGATGTTAAGATAGGACTGGAGAAAAATTGCCAACCAGATTGTCCATGATGTAAAGGAATCATTAGTTGATGAAAAGAAGTATCATGCCAGAGTCAATATGGACATTGCCCTTGACTGTGTCAGTGCCACTTTGTTATCATTGCTATCAAAGCTTTTCACAAAGTTGGACCACACTTTACAATCCGCTCTCATCAGAAACATTGTTGCAAATGCCTTAAGCGATAGATTCGCAACTCTCCAAATTGCTCTTGGTGTTGTCTTAAACAGGAAAGGGTTGATTGAACAATGTCATGAGTTGCAGCTTGCAGTAATGATGAAGTTCTAAGGTTCAAAGTATCAGCAGCAGCTGTAAGCAATGCTTCATTAAGGGGACATGACCACGCTGAGGACAGTCTTGTTCAGCTCGTCTCCGACAATTTTGGTGCACAGATATCCTCACAGAATGGGATACTTTCAACGCATTCTCTCGCAATGCTGCTAACATTTGTGGATAAGCATGGCACAGAGGATGTCAACATGCATCAACACAAGTAATTGAAATATTCTATGACGATTTACATACACACTAAAGTTGATTGTCAATTCTTTGCAGAAAATACAGTTGTGATTAATACTGGAATGACCTAATCCGATGCTTTACCCCTAAGAACATGGGTATGAACACGAAAATTATATTGACACCACGTGTAATGATTGAGATAACAAGATTTTCAGTAATGGTCGCCTCAATATGTCTATTCACCATAAAGTGATTGGTGCGTTCTAAACATGGGGATAGACACCAAAATGATTTCGATACCATTCATTGTTACTGAGAAATTGATAAAAACAAGATTTTCAGTAATGACAGCCTTCATTTGCATATCGTTCAGATTGCCCAAGGATGACAGAGTGGCATCATACAGATTTTGGAAGAGCACAAATCAGAGGTATAGAAACAGCAATGCACGCCCGAAGGTATCTGCCACTATACTATTACATCGGACTTCCTGAAAACAGAATCAAACTTCACTGTCAGTCTGATTTTTTGATTGAGCAGTTATGATGTCTGGATCAGCCAAACAATTAACCACAAGGCTAACTTAGTTCAATCTTTAAAGATTAATCAAAAGGACAAACCGAATTATCAAAAATTGTATGCGATGGTCAAGTTTCAAAGGGAGATAACTCTTACAACACAAATTGCGGCCACAGTTTTTTTTTTTTTTTTTTCATTTGGCAGCATATCTTCCAAGTACTCCATGAAAGTGCAGAAAAAGGACTCTGTTTATTTGTACTTTTCATATGTCAAATATCAATTTTTTGTTCACATCTATTATCCATCTACTAATCAATAATTATTGACAATAATAAAATACTACAAGAACCAACAAGTAATCAAGTATTACATATACACA